AATTAAGGGTCAATTCAATTACAACTTTTCTAATTACATTTCATTACAATTCAATTCGATTCTACTTTAAACATGAGAAATGCAGCAATACAATGACAGTGAATTCAAAATACATGATGATAAATAAGTATAAGTACATGTAAAATGCGATGTGACTCTTTGGGCTATACTTGCTTAGCCATCCATATGTGTTGCCTGCGTTGAACGGAGCGTGTGTTCTGCGGTGCAGAGCGGCGAAAGCGAGGGCCATTAATTTTCATAAATGTGTTCCTTGTGCGAGGTACTCCCTTTGGAGGGTGTGCTGGTTTGGCGGCATGGTTTGGCGACTAGCTGCGTGGCCTCGCTGAGGTGCAGAAGCGTACGATGGAACTGTCACACACGTTCGGCAGTTCCCATAGGAGGACCAGTCCACGGTCCGGTGTGATAGCGCGAGGCAATTCGTGCAATATCGGTGCGCGCGCGCGATGATAAACCTCTGATGGGGCTGTAGGGCCCGGAAAGCGCTGCATACTCGGAGAGCGTGGTGGCACATACATAGACGGCACTGCTGGAAGTTTGTTACGGGCGTGTCGTCCTGGGGAAGTTGTTCCGCGGCGGTCTATGTGGCGCGTACCGATTCACTTACGGGCGGGAGTGCCCTTGCGGGCTGAGGGATATCAACGTATCATCTATAATGACGACGCATTCCTCAGCTTTCGGTGAAACTTTAGTGTCTTTCCATCTATGTATAACGTTTCTGAAGGTCTTTGAGATAATCTTCCTTCCAACGGCGGCTGAATTGATGGTGCACAACTTTAACTCTTTCCCACCTATTGAGGAGAGACAAATTGCTATGATCTACTTCCGGAAGAGACAAGAGGGCAGTTCCTCTTACGAAACGGCCAGGGGTGAGGGCCGTGAATTCTGTTGGATCTTGGGAGAGAGTGGAGATGGGACGAGAATTTAATACCGCTTCGATCCTAACGAAAGGAGTGGTGAATTCTTCAAATGCGAATTTGTGTGCTCTAGCCGTTCGTTTGAGATGTAGGTTGAAGCCTTTGACGACGGATTCCCATAATCCGGCCATGTGGGGGCTGCCAAGGGGGATAAATCTCCAATCAATTCCTTGGGGAGAGTATTGCTTGATGATGTCTTGCGATACTTCTTGCAGGAAACTATAGAATTCCTTCTCTGTTGCTCTTTTGGCTCCAATGAAAGTAATGCCATTGTCGCTCATCATTCTTGCTGGGTAACCTCGACGCCCAACAAAACGGGCAAACGCGGGGAGAAATGCGTGGTCAAATCGGAGCACAGCTCAGGTGAACCGCCTTTATTGTGAAACACACAAATACGGCAACGTAGCGAGGTGTTTCGACTATATGGGAAGGTAGAAAAGTCATGGTGACAGTTGATAAAAAAAACCGGTTGGACTTCGAGAGGGAAACGTAAAAGTCGTTACCCAGCAAAAAACACGATTACCGAAGAAACGAAAGTGGAAACGAGCTAGGCGTTGGGAATCGCTTACCCTCTCTATTTTAGCATGGGCATGCCATTGGCGGTAAGCCCTTACCCACAGCAATACCTTCAAACGAATGGGTGAATGCATGGATAAACAGAATCCAGAGAAGCGAACAAAGAATGCCTTACAGAGAAACTAATGTAGAATGCCTAGATAAGTACATACTTATGTATTTATATTAACTTGTATTATTTATATTAATTGTAAATTGTAAGAAAATGTCTTAAAAGATTAAAATTTTTATAAATATGTTTTTATACATACATATGTATGTATTTGGGTATTTAGATTTTACTTAAAGATCGGTATGTACATACATGCATACTTAATTAAGCTTAAAATTGTACTTCCTCACACTTCATTGACTGACTTTAACTTCGCTGCAAATTGAACAAAGCAAAACATGATTTATATGCGAGACAAATTTCCACAGAAAGTAACGGTAGAAAAATAATTTTTGGATATTCATTCTATTTTTCAGCTGACTACGATGCAGCATTCTACTTTGCATTCCTCGAAATGAAGCAAAGAAGCGAAATAAAAAAAAATATTGTAGGACATTCTACTTTGCTTTCCCCCAAGTGAAGCAATGAAGCGAATTAAAAAAGAAATATTATAGGCCATTCTACTTTGCATTCCCCGAAGTGAAACAAAGAAGCCAAATAAATAAAATATTGTAGGCCATTCTACTTTGCATTACCGGCAATGCCTAAAAGAAGCGAAAAAATCCGAAAGCATTATAACGCTATGCCTTCTAGAACACGTTACCACTAAAAGCGATTACCGATTTTTTGCTGGGTAATACCAAATTTTACATTAATTACTCACCCCCCTTCTTCACGAACGATACATTTCCAAAAAAAAATACGGGAATGGGCGCGATACCGATTAATCAGTTTAGTTGCCTTTGGCGATTAACCCATTAAAGAAAGTGTTTCTTTTTCAACTGTAATCAATTATCTAAATGTCGTGGAATATGCAGGTGAAGGTATTTATCATTTATTTGGTACTTTCATATTTTCTTACCTTAAAATTTACTTTGAAATGTAGATGCTAAAGATTATTAGTAAAAAAATGTGTGAGTACTGGTCCGTCAGGTCTTGAAACTAGACGAATGTTTTAGAGAATTTTATGTAGTTTTCGAATATATAATTTGATCTTTGCGCGCGACTTTGCAAATATATGTAATTTTTGATTTTCTTAATTTTTGATTTCCAGCTTTTTGCATAATTCCGCGATAATAATTTTGCGAAAAATGAAAAAATCTCACCAAATATTGGGAAAAAAGCGAGTATTTACACCTAAGTCATTTTATGGTATAACCTTTGTTTTCTGAGAGTGGAAAGCAGGAAACAAAAATTAACCAAAATTCATTAACATTTTTTGTGAGTTTTGGACGTTATAGTGATCCAATCTTCCCCATATTTTATATTTAGGTTTTTCTAATAAAATAAGGACTACAAACTAAATACCATCGAAATCGGATGAAATTTAATGTTTCCGCCCACAGGAGTAGAGGGCGTGGCAATTATTCCATTTGTACAAAATTTCGTCATTCTCTATATCTAAGCAAAACTAGAGCACACGTCAAGTTTCAGTGAAATCGGTGGAGGTGTACTATTATTTCCACCTGCCTCTATATAGTGGAAACACTGTGCGTAGCCTTTCACAATGGTGGAAGACCTTAGCATGGTGGCTTTTACTTGAAAAAGCCCAGCAAAATCTACACCGGTGGTGGTGAAGAGCGGAGCGTAAGTGCAACGCTCTGGTGGCAACGTGGCCGTGATTTGAGAGCGCGTTTGATGCTGGGCGGTGCAAGCTTTACATTGTCGAAGACATGGATGATGATGAATAATTAGCTAACCTTTACTTTATAAACATATATTTGAAATGTAATAGAATTACTTATAATGAATTAACATGAAGAATTAGTCACCCTTTACTTTATATACATATTTGAAATGTAATAGAATTACTTAATTCGAAACTGAACATACTCACTATCCTTATATATATATATTTAAAATTATGCTAGAACTCCCTTTTAAAAATATGTATTTTTTCCGAATGTGAGCTCTCGGCACCCATAGGGGCACCCGCAATCGAATCGTCGACTGGACCAGTTATTCAGAGCTATCACGGAATCCATCGTAGAAAATCTACGAATTCGAATGCCTGCTACGAATACGAAAAAATTGCTATCACTGATTCCGAGTGAACTCGAAAATATCGTGGCCAGCTTCGAATGTTGATTCGAAATCAGCTAGTGCATAGGAAACAATAGACATTTATGTATGCCATTTTGCTCACGCTGCCACAGCAGTCGCAATGGCCGACTGAGCAAAGCACTAGACTGCCAATTGAGAGATCCGAGTTCGAGTCTGAGTCGTCGGCAGTGGAGCTTTTTTCTTTTTTTATTTCATTTTTGTTTTTTTTTTAATTATTTTTTTTTTTAGTTTAGATTTTATTCTTTTAAAGAGAAAACTATTTTTTTAAATTAATTTAAATTTGTATTTTTTAAAATAAATTTATATGATATTAATGTAATTAGATTTCTTTCCTAATAAATTGTTGTTAAACTATTATTTCCTCGCTTCAAAAAAAAAAAACATTCATTAAATAGCGTCTAGCAGATGAATATATGTATGTACATATGTAGGTATGTATGCCATTCATATTTTACGTCTACGTTTACACAAATATATGGAATGATATCAAACTATAACAAATATGGAGTATAATAAATATTTATTATTAACAATAATGCAGCTTTTCTCCGTTATTTTTAAGATTCAGTGATTTTAAATTTTGTTCCGACAGCATAAACTCGTCGTAGTGTATCTGTACGAATCTTCATTACGAACGGATTCAATGAATGCGCTCTCTACGAATTTCGAATTTACGTTCGTAGCGATTCGGATTCTGTGATAGCACTTCCGTAGGTTTGACGAAAATCGACGCTACGATGGATTCTGTGATAGCTCTGATTAATTTCAATTTAATCTACAGTCCACTATATTTTCTCCTTTTTGAATAAACTCGGAATAATTTGTATTACCTTAAAATGTGCTTTACTTATTCAATTAAACATACTCAAACACACCCTTTTACGTTGCCAAACAGCAACATATGGTCCTTACGCGCCATCAAAAAGAATTGGCAGCACTTAACGCGCACAGCGCTCTAAACAAAGCTGGAGTATCTCCACGATTGAGAGAATACAAAGGTTGCGCCGATCTCGGACCGCTATTCCTCTCTTAACGAATTTGACAGAATCGTTGTTTGCATGACGTCACACTGGTGCAACTTGTTTACGTTTTCCATGCAACATTTTTTCTTCTTCTTCCATTCTTGCTCACGTCTTGGCATTTCTCTCTCGCAATTGCACCAGTGTGACGTCACACAAAAGTTATTCTCAAAAATCCTCTCTGATCGGCGCAATCTTGTATTCTATCATTCTTGGAGTATCTCCATATATTTTTTCTACCCGAAAAACAAAAAGGTTATTCGATTGCGAGCGGCGCGCGGCACATTAAAAAAAAAATAATAAAATAAATCATTCCACAACAACAAACAGTGAAAGGTGAAATAAAAAAAAACCGTAAACTGAAAACATTTAATAAACATTAATTGCTAAATCAAAAGTGAACATTGAAAAAACGCATAAACAGAGAAAACAGTGAAACAAGTAGTGGCGAACAAAAACAAAGTGCAAAGGAGAACATAAATTCGCATAGAAAAATAAAAAAATTGTGATAGTGGTGTAAAATAAAAGCACCAACCATCTTCCACCGCATCAGCTACCATCGTCCAGCGCAGCAGCCAGCCACCGAAGCACCTGTTGAGACAGCTGTAGCGGAGCATCACCAGCAACCGAAACAACAACAACAACAGGCAGACGGAAACTTGGGAGCAGTAGCGACGGAAGGTACCGCATAGCAGCAGGCCAGTCACCGGTACAGTAGACCACCACACGAAATAAAGAGTTTGTACATAGGAATGCCAAAGTGAGTTACTCAAACATACATACTTACATATACGCATATTTTTGCAAAGTTTAGCGGACTTTCGAACAAAATACGGTGAACTGAATTTCCCCTTTTTCATTTACCGTAGACAAATACCGTACAATCTTTAAACACAGTATATTATAAATATATTGTATATCTACATATATATGTAGATATATATTCAAGTACATATATCCCGTTTTCTCCAACTCGAAGAAAAAATCCGCTAAACTTAAGACACAGTAATGTACAACATATACATATACTCCATCACATATTCAAATAATTTACCCCCAACTCACAATACATGCATGATTATTAAATTCAGTGAACGAAACTATTGTTCAAGTGAACGTCCCAAATTTCCGCCTGGGTACATGTACCAAAGAAAAAATTCCCGTTTCGCAACGCCAACTCAGTTTGAATAATATTTCGTCAGTCAGGGCATTTACCTATATACATATGTACTAATATTGCGCTGTATACATAAACACATACATTAATACATACGTATGCACTCGCGCCAAACTACAGCGGTTCTCATAGAGCGAATCTATGTTGATGCATCCAAACATACATACCTAATAATAATCAGTAGAGAAACCCCAAACACATATTCCCTTGCTCTTTGGTTTTTGGCATTCTAGATTCTATTTCCAAATAATATATCGTGGGTCACTCAAATTATCTTGCGTATGTACGTATGTACTAGCATTTAGGCGCTAAGTATACTACATACTCGCACATACATACCTAGCCCTTAATATCTAA